CAATGTTTCTGGACTGGCATCCCCATGGTAGCCACCTGCGAAAAGAATACTTCAGCGAGCAATATATGTTATTTTAAAATATATTGTTACCTAGATGTTTACTATTGAATAAAATCTCGTTTATTATAATGCAAAAAATAGCTTTAAATTTTAATTCACCGGAAAAAAAACAAAAAATACACAAGATCAACAAATTTTCATTTACGGGACAGTTCAGTAAAAAATTACTGAATAGTTCGGTAAATAATTACCGAATTGTTCGGTAATTTTGACAGCTCATCAAAAAATCTGTTTACCGATCGTTCGGTAATCGTTTAGATTACCGAACGTTCAGCTGTTGAAAGTTCGGTAAAAAATTACCGAATACGGTAATAACATAGAGGTAACTCTAAGACAAGTAGGTCCCGAAGAAACGTGCTCAACTTTTTGGCTCACCTCTGGTACTATCTTCGGTCCCAAGCTTGTCGAATCACCCCTCGAAACATAGGAAAAACCAATAACCCCTCATTTTATCCGTCAAACTTTCATAGCGAATCAAAACAAACATTGTGTAGTACTAGAATTTAGACTAGAATAGGGTACGTTAATCGTTTGCTTGGGACCAATAGGCTACTAAAGTGGTGAGCCAATTTAAAATCGTTAGTTTCATATTGATTGTTGGTAATAATTTCTAATGTCGTTTTCGTTTTTGCGGTGTAGCTACACCGGTGCTACACTGCCGTACACCGAAATATTTTAGGGTGTAGGTATAGGATGCACCTTTGTTTACAAATAAATGATGTTGAGCTGTCAAAGACTCGCGCTTATTTCTGCTTACACTACACCAGTGCTACACCGCAAAAACGAAAACGACATAAGTGTGTACGATCAAAATAGTTTCGTCTCAGTTTGTCCAGAATCAAAAATTGTCTAGATCACCGCGTAATTTTGCACACTTAGTCTCACAAAAGCTCAAACCACAGCAGCTACCTACCATGATGAGTCACATTTGAAGAATAGCTTCATCAGATAGAGTTCACATCGGAGTATGCAAAGAGAAAGTCCATATTTTCCTCTCAACACGTAGAGTGTTCAGATAACGGAAAGAGAAAAGGCCTATTAAAAATTCGTGATAGGGTAGAGTGTCAAAAAAATAGTCTTTCATTGATTCAATGAGATAATCTATTTGGTTGATCAACGCGTTAAAGTTCCCTTTTGCGAAAATAAGATCGGTGAAGCATGAAAGGTGCATCTCAATCCTGGGTGGCACTAGCGATAGTAAGTTTCTGGTATAATAAATTAATAGTTGTTGAAATAAATTAATAATAAAATTATTAATTTATTTAGGGGGAGTATGGGGTAGTGTTACCTAGAGTCGGTGTATAATGAGTCACGCCAAGAGAAAAACAGTGGAAGTCGCATCACGGTTTTCGAAAGATTCCCTTCCCTTTCACTTGGCAACAGAGGACGTCTGCATCAACTTCAAAGGACTTCTAGCGACAAATTTAATTACCGGCTGCAGTAAATTATTATATTAGTGATTTTGTCTGATTAAATCAGCAACATATATTACAAATTCTCATTACTAATCATTACCAAACGAATCTAATTACAATTTAAATGCTCACTGCGTGTGTATGGTCATTTCTTCGATTAAATTTTATATTTTATTGCAATACCTTTCGTGTAGCATTCATAGCATCGTAATGTTTATTTATTTTGCACGATAGGTAGCCAGTTTGACAGTTCAATAGGTAGACTTGGCTTCACTCTTGGCGTGACTCATTATACACCGACTCTAGTGTTACCGTTTGGGTAGTTTACCCTATATCACTAGCACTCACGCTTATTCTGGTCAACTCAAAATTGAGTCGAATGTACTCATCTCAGCGGCAAGTATGGCTACTCAAAATTGAGTAGCCTTATGTTGACTCACTTTTGAGTAAACTACGTTCTCACGTAGACTGAGTCAAATCCACTCGCCGGTATTTTCAGTTGCAGGGAGGGTTTTTATTTTGGTTTTCATTCAAGGAAATGGAAATTGCCTGCTCCGGATTCCTTCTACCGGAGCAAAAACCGGTTCAACACCGTTTCCCTAAGCAATTCGTACTTACCTGAAGGCATTCCAGCCGGTTTTGAGTAATATTTTCTGTGAGCTTTCCTCCGACATGACTGGCATTTTTTCCAAGTCCAGGATTTTGCTGACTGAGTGGCTTTTACTCAGTTTGACATTTCTCGTTTACTCAATTTTTGACAACTCGATACATCGGACGAAAGTGAGTACGATCGACTCACCTGGTGAGTAAGCAGAAGTTAGCGTGCTGAGCAATGAGAGTGAGTGTAGGTAGGTCTCCATACTGCTATTAAGTATGAACGAGCAAGGCCGACTGCTAGCAATATGCTATTGAGCTATCTATAATATTAATCTATTTATTTAATGGTTATGCTGAAAGTTATTGTTTCTTTACTTAATGTTCTATGTTATAAAACTTAATTTATTAAAAACAAATGAAAATATGTAAAGAAATAGCAGATCAGATTAAAAATACCACTCCAAAGAAACGGTCAAATTAAAATTATCAGAACACAATTTGTAAAACATAAGGTACACTTCCCATACAGACACCACAACCAGGATCGGTTAACAGAAGAGGGAAATAAATGAAAAGTATGACGGGTGGAAACAGGGAGTATGGTCAAATAGGAGGTTACTACTGGGTCAGATCGAATGGGCAAGTTCTTTTCCACTTCAGCTCTTCTCGAAGGAGGTTTGGATCATAGTTCACAGACTAGTATCGGTATATTTACAGACAAAGTCCAAGTGTTCAAACATTTCAAGTCGAAGTGACTTTCCAGTTAAATAAAGTGGAAATAAAAACCTCAGGAACGCGTAAAAAAAAGAATCAGGACCCATTGTCCTTAGTTTGAGTCTCCGCTGTTCAGCCACCGAACGCTTTCTAGACCGTCGGAGCGGTCAACCCTCCCAGCGAGCGTGAAGTTCCTCGCAATCACTGGCGATCAACCCGAACGCTTTCTAGACCGTCGGAGCGGTCAACCCCCCCAGCGAGCGTGAAGTTCCTCGCAATCACTGGCGATCAACCGAACGCTGTCTAGACCGTCGGAGCGGTCAACCAAGCGAGCGTCGGGAGACACGAGATCGCGTCATTCCTAAACTAGCAGATCATCCGCTGGGTCATCCGCCCAGCGATCCACGATCCAGCACGCCGGCCGGCCATTCACACACCCACACACACACACACACCCTATTATACGTAAGTAACGTGATATCCTAAATAAAAAGTGCCTAAAAGAAGACCGAGTAGAACGTTATTTGCGCCCTGATCAGCCTCACCATCTCACTCTTTGTCGAGATACGACCGGAGGAAGAGTCGTGAGCTAAGCCAACAAAAGAGGCTGGTGGAAAGCCCACCCCGTTGGTCCCCGTGGTTCTAGATCAGGGACCTGGGGGATTGCCATAATAGAGAGCTCTGCTCCCACAGAAGTAACATCTCTTAGGCCATTCCATATATCATGAACCGAAATGTTATTAGCGCCAACAGTAGTTGAAAAGTCAGTAAAATAAGAAAAATATTCATAATCCCGATCACTATCTGAAAATTTCGTGTATATTTCTTGAAAAAAGTGGCGAAAAGATAACATATAGGGGAAATGGCTCTAATGTTGGCCTATGGATCTAAGATTGGGCCCATCGCTAAAAATCTGCTATTTATCAATCGTATCTAGAATCTAGATGAACGCGTCATTGGGACGACGGTACTAATGGATATTTTTGGTTGCTATTGAAAATTTAGACCATTACTGAATTTATGTATGGGCCCAAATTAGGGACACTTAGGCCGACATTACATACATTTCCCCTATCATCAGAATTATTACCTTCGTTTTCATCCAATGTCATTTTTGATGGAAAGCTGCACGATTTCATTTTAGTTTTGACGTAATGGAAGAAGTTTCTTGGACATGATTTAATTTCACTATCAGTTTTTTATGTTATCCCTAATAAAAATTGTATGGTTAATTTGCTTAACGACGTGTTCTGGGTATCATCCAAACCATTTGTGGAATAGTTCAATGATTTGGGTTATCGTTCGTTTATGGTTATTTTTATTAGGGATTCTCAAACAGTGCCAAAGAAACCAAGTAACCGTTACCCACCCTAATAAATTTGTTATGGTTATTTTGCTTAACGACGTGTTCAGGGTATCATCCAAACCATTTGTGGAATAGTTCAATCATTTGGGTTATCGTTCGTTTATGATATTTTATTAGGGCCGTTTCTGTCGCAGGTACGTTTACCCGATTTAAAAAATGCATGTTTACCCATTTTTGGGTAGGTTCAGTTTTGACCGATCTGGGTGGATTCTACCCAAATTTGGGTAGGTTTGAAATAGTGTGTGTAGTGTGTACGGGATGGTATACACGCTATTTCAAAACTCCCCAAATTTGGGTAGAAAACACCCAGATCGGTCAAAACTGAATCATCCCAAAAATGGGTAAACTGTGTTGGAAGTCAAGTTGACAAATGAACAACGTTGATCGGATTCATGTCGATGTTGTTCATTTGTCAACTTGTCACTCCCAACACAGTTTACCCATTTTTGGGTAGGTTAAGTTTTGACCGATCTGGGTGGATTCAACCCAAATTTGGGGAGTTTTGAAATAACGTGTAACATGCAATAATTTGTATGCATGGCAACCGTGTACTTCATTTTTCGATAGTACCTTCGATAGGGTATTACGAAGTAACACTTCGGCTTATTCCCTTGTTTTCACACAGCCAGCCAATCGTACTAAAGCTCCATTCCGGACTACTGAGTGAGACTGAGAAATTTCACTCATACTGATGCAGTACCTCGGATCGACAATGTAGTGTGGGTTTTCATTTTTATTTTGTCGCTTATGGTACGTCGTTTCTGCTTCGTAAGCGGACACAGAACAAAAAGAGAGAGAAATTCAAAAACAAAAAATCGAGGAACGTATATATGAAGAATATACGAATGTTAGAGAAACACAAGTGAAGATGCAAATATATGTTGAAAAAGAGGCACCAAAATCGTCTCTCGTTTAATGAAACTGAGTCTAGTGAATTTGATTCATCTAATCAGTCGCGAGTGCAAAAATTTCTTTGCCAATTCAGAAAAATAACCTGTGAACTATTGAAATTAGTTGCAGGATTTCTCTGTTAGCATGATTTCATTCAATGGTTATTTTGTATGTTGAGTGCTCTTTCGTCTTTGATAATGTCGGTAATAACAAAGTCAGTGCGCGGAGTTTGAAGAAAATAATGGCGAAGTGGTAGATATAGCCTAGCTGATAGAGAAGCGAAACGATTTTTTTTATGAAAAAGTGTCGTAAAGCGGCAGTGGCGCTTCAGAAATGGCGAATAAAGAGTGATTTTCAAGCAAACGAAATTGAGTACGTACTAAATTAAAAAAAAAAAAACAAAGAAAAAAAACAAGTTGAAAACAGAAGAAAGGAAATCAAGTGTCATATTGTGAATAATCCACCTAAATAGGTATATCTTGCTGAATGTGGTGTGTTTACTTAGCGATAATAAAGTGTAAACAATGATATTTGATGTTTAGTGACGTAATTTCATTACTTGTGTAGTTTAATTCTGGTTTCAATATTCAATCGCTATCAAGAAGCAGAAAGTTGTATTTATAGGTAAGGTGTTATGCTAGGGTGTAATAGTATTTTGATATATTTTCCGAAATAATGCACCAGAAGAGGGTTCTAAAACACCTGGATTTTTTCTCTGAATTCGGAAATGAATTTGATAATTAAAGACCCGGGAAAAGTAATTCTTCGCTTTTGCTTGAGCAATATTTCCGTCAAACCCACTCCCACTGCACGATGTGTTATTCGACCCTCGCACATTTTTCCTTTTCCAACCTCCTAGTCAATTTGGAGACTACATAGCGATAGCAAAAGCAGCACAGAGTAAGCAAGTATATGTCGCGGGATTTTCACGCTAAGAAACGTTTAACCGAATTTAGGTAAACAAATCGGCAGAGTTGAGTTCGCATTTTCACAGTTTCAACATTTCAAAGGGGCGTAATTGCTTTTGTAAACAATTACTTCAGCCGTCAATTTCTAGCGAATGAAATCTTACCTCTCCAAAATTACAATGCTAGCTGGTAGAGGAAACATTCCTCTAACTGATGGTGTCATTATATTTCATGAGTGAGCTTTTATTCGCGAGAAATCGAAGGCTAAAATCATTGTTTACAAATGCAATTACGCCCCTTTGAAATGTTGGCACTGAATTTACTAGCTGCATGTGTTGAACCCAGCGTTGCCAGATATACCGAATTATCGGTATTTATACCGATTTCCAAACTAGATACCGATATACAGATAAGGTTCCTCGAAATACCGATTTTTAAAATTTTATACCGATTTATACCGATTTTTTTTAAATAAGCAAAATTATTATTGCCTGCCCGCGCTCGAATTTCGGAGAAAATTTTCGTGAGAGACTTGTATCTTATTGAATACCTCATATTTTTTTAGCCTTCAAAATTCTAAACAATCATCTCTAAGGTGCTTTATGCTTGATACTCTTTCGACTAATGTTTGCATTTCCTCACCGTTTTGGCTACCCATCAATCGAGAAAAAGTCGATGGCTCTTCCCGGTAATTCCTAGGCAATCGAGAAATATTTTTTAAACTTTATTTTACTTCCGGAAGTTTTTATTCATTTTTAAACTTCCTGAAGTTTTGTCCAACTTTCCTTGGAATTTTCTTCCATCTTACCTTGGAAACTTCTTCAGCCTTCGCTCGAATGATTCTTTCATCTTCTCCCGCCAGTTTTTTTTTAACTTTCCCGGAGTTTCAAGGATGCTATCAGGTTTTTATTGCGGATCCACACTAGCTGCAGACACATTCAAGAAGTTCTGAAACGCCAAAAACCCGGAAATTTCAGAATAGTCCAGCGAACTCCAGTGAACTTAAGGAAACATCATAAATATTTTGGACACTTAACAAGTCCAAAAAACTTAAGGAAATTTAATGGTTTTCAGGAACTTTAGTGAAGTCAGGGAACATCAGGACAGATAAAATAATTTCAATGAAATTGCTGAAATTATAAAGGAGCTCCGAGAAACTCAGGCAATTTCCGAAAACTTCAGCAATGTTCATGCAAATTTAGGAAACGTAAGGGAAGTTACATGAACATTAGATCATTGTGAGAACATTTTATGGGAAGTTCTATGCTTTTTAATGGCAGTGCCGATACCTTTAAAAAATTAAAAAAATCATGAAGGTTACAATAAATTCAAGAAAATTGTGAGAGTACTTAGGATACCCTCCAAGAAAGTCCAGAGACCTTCTAAGATGATTAGAGATTTGCCGGTAGTCTTATTATAATCAGGGAAGTTTCGAGCGCTTCGAGGATGCCCAGAGAACTCCAAAACAGCTCCTAATTTCAGGAAAATTACAAGAACTTTTAAGGAATTTCGAGGAATTATGAAATATTCCATTCCTGCATTTCAGGAATGATCCCAAAACTTCAGGGAAATTTCGGAGTCATCAGGGATGTTATTTTAAATATCAGGAAAATTTTCTGGATCATTAGATCATCCCCCAGGAATCTCTTTCATTCGGAATTATGTCCTTGTTTCATACGACTGTTCCGTAAGCGTTCTGGCTTCCGACTTTCTTCAGATGTTTCTTCCAATTTACCTTAGGAAATTTCTGCCAGCGTCTCCAGGAAGTTTCTTTCGTCTTCTCCAGGAAGTTCAATTAATTCTCCCAGAAATGTCTTTGGTCTTCTTCTGGAAGTTTGACCATAAGCCAAAGGTTTTTTGTTTGACTTCTATTGGAAGGTTTTTCCGAGCTTCTTCTGGCTTGCCCTGGAAATGGTTACTTCTGGAAATTTACTTCCGGTTTCCGGAACATTTCTGGCTTCCTTTGAATGTGATATCCGATTTTTTCCCGGAGGATTTCCCAGCTTTTCTCGAACTTCATCCAGGAGAGCTTCATTCGTCTTTTTCAGGATGTTTTTTTTCAGTTCCTTTCAGAATCTAATTCAAACATTCCCCGGGGTATTCATCCGGAATTTTTCGATCATAGTTCAAAAGTTAAAATTTTGCTTTGATTAACAGCTTTCTCAGTCTTAAAACACTGCAACGACTACGATGTAATCTGCCCTTAAGAGCCTGAATTTATAGATATTAGGCTCTTTAATCAACCCGACATTTCGGTCATAGGTTGTGGCTTTTTTCAAGGGAAAATATTGTTGGTCGTTATTGTCAATGGTTACGTCGTTTTCCATATTTTGGTTTTTGATCACCACTTAAGAACAACGATAATTTTAAAAATTAAATAAAAAAAAAAGTGCTTTAAGGCTGAGAAAGCCGCCATACAAAGCAATTCCCTTCATATCCCAGTCGTCACCATCGTTAAAATAGTCACTTTAAAAAACGGCTATGATATAAAATTAAATAAATAGTAAATACAGATAAATACCGATTTTTTAATACCCTTGATACCGATGAGCTTTAAAACAATCTGGCAACGCTGGTTGAACCTCACGTTGAACATAGTATCGGAAGTAGTGCGCTGTATAGCGCATTCTTGTGCGATTACAGCGCACTACTTCCGACTCTTTGTTTACACACCAAATTTTGAAATCCTGCTCCAGCAAAATGAATTGCTGAATCGCGTCCAGCAAAACTAACTTTAATTGAAAAATCTGTAACATTAAATATTTTGCTGAACGTTCCAGTAAACTGTATGAAACGTCAAAATCATGCCAAAATCTATCATTCGCTCCTTCACGATTTATGATTATTTTTGTGTTCAAGAAGTGTTCGACTAACAAAATATCATGGAAATTATATAAAAAGACCTTTTGTCATGAAGTAAGTAATACTGATAGATAATAGGTAACTCTAAGACTAGAAGGTCCCGAAGAAACGTGCTCAACTTTTTGGCTCAGCTCTCGTACTGTCTTCGGTCCCAAGCTAATCGATGCACCACTCGAAACATGGGAAAATCCACGAATCCCTCATTTTATCTGTCAAACTTTCATAGCGAATCAAAACAAACATTGTGTAGTACTAGAATTTTGATTAGAATGGGATACGTTAATCGATTTGCTTGGGACCAATTGGCTAGTCAAGTAGTGAGCCAATTTAAAATCGTTAGTTTCCACCGGTTGGTAACACTAAACTACCTTAGCAACCTATATTAAGTTGAAAAACTTTCGTTTTTCTCTGAAATTTACAGTTTTCTTCTTTCGTAAACTTACCCAGGAGTCTCCTTAAGAAACAACAACAATAACTCACACAGGATGGCCCATCATAGCTTCTTCAAGACATGATTTTTTAAGAAGTGTAGTCAGATGATTTTTTTAAAGAAGTGCTGTAACATTCAGTAAATTACTATATACAATATTGTGAACATGATTTGAGTCAACATCTTAACCGAACTCAAGACCTCAAACTTATAAAAAAAACGTTAAATATCGCCAAAATAGGAGCATGACCAATTTAGGAGCGTTTCCCCGATAATATTCACACAAAAAAATTAAAAAAGGCTCGCCAATAAACAAAGTAGGTATTTATGTAGTTTACAGACAATCCCTAGAGCAGCGTCTCTCAACCTATGGCTTGATCTAACCTAAAAATGTTTTCCTCTAGTTGTGAAACGCTGTCCAGACTGGAGAGTTATAACGGTTGTCAAATAATAGCAACACAGAAACCACCTTCAAGATAGCGCTATAACATGTTATAACTCTGTAGTCTGTAGAAAATAGGTGTTAAAACATGTTTTCAATGGTATCATGACATAAAGTTGGACTAAAAAACCACTAAAATCGATTAAGAGATAGAAAAAATGTCTTTACATGTTAATTTATTCAAGAATTTGAGGAAAATACCGGGGCCTCGTCGGGGAAGTCGAAACGGGGTATTTTTCGTATGAGCTTTTATGAAAATACCGTTTCGCCTTGGTTGCATACACACTCATTTTTTATCGCTGGAATATTTTGCTGGATTTTTTCCGAGCTGAAAGTTTAGCAATCCATCCAGTAAAATATATTTGCTGGACGACCAGCAATTTAGTCCAATTCCAAATTGGCAGCACTTTACTGATTATCCAGCAAAACGGAAGATCAATCATTTTGCTGGAAGAGCAGCAAATCTCGACTGGGTTTGAACTGGTTCCAACCTCGATAATAAAAGAATTCGCTATTACTTGCACATTCGATTGTCGTCAATGAACGGCAAGCGGATGTCCATCGACAATTCAATTGGCGATAGATTGCGGAACAGAGACCGACGTTAAATAAAGGAATTAAGAAGAAGAAGAAGAAGAAATAATCGGTCGTTTGTGTTTTATTCTCTCGATGATTTTCCGAGTTTCCGTTTTATTTTATATTCGGCTACCTATCCGCCTACACGTTATGGGTCCACAGATAACACAGCGAAGAAAAGTTACGGCGATGTTGGTTTGTTCGCTACGGGATTCCTATGATCCGCTAACGATAGCATTGGACCAGCAACCCGCTAACGGATTAACGCTGGTGTAGGTAAAGTCGAAGCTTTTGGCGGAATCGCATTTAAGGTGCATTATTGGCAGAATCGTAGTGGAAGCGGTTTTACCGAGAACACGGAATTTAGGGTGTGTTTGGGGTGAGCCAGCTAATTGGTTCGTGGACA